ATGTTTATTAAAAGAGATTACCAATATCATAAAAGATGCCAACTAAACCAGAGCAACCCGGTCCACCACTCATCCAAAGCAGAGAAGGTCCATTTTAGGATTGCTTTCGGACTCAATGAAATAGTAGAATAGTTGTACTTCTTCATTTTCTCCCACGCCAATGTATCTATCAATCATTTTGAAGATAAAAAACAAAGTTAAAATCTTGTTATTAGTTTAGCACCACCACCACCTCCTCTCGACAATAATATCACCACCTCAAATCAAATCAACACATCATAGAAAAATACCACCACACCATTGTGCCAAATTCACCACAACCACCACCGTCGACCGCCAAAATATGAAAGCTGCCGCCACTACCACTCCGACAACTAAAACCAAAGCCTCACCGCTATCAATCACCTGTACCACCACTGTACGCAAATGCCAGATCTACCACCATCACCCCAACCGTGTAGAGTCGTCGGAGGGATGGTAAGAAATGAAGATGATAAATTAAGATTTTGTAAAAGTGAATTAGGGTTTGTTGGGTTAGGGTATATTAATTATATTTAATAATATTATCGGCATTAAAATATTTAATTGTGATTTGAATTAATATCTGATTTTTGTATAAATAAACTTTTAATATGATTTTTTGAAATTGGATCTTAAAAGATATGATTGAGTGTAATTTTCACTTGTTAACCGTTTAGCTTCTATGGGTCAATGTTCAAACCATTTTTGTTATCAGGCCTTGGGCATTTCTGGAATTGGGCTTCTTTTGAAGGGATAAAGTCCAATCCAATACACAGGAAAATGGAACTGAATGCAAGGAATTTCAACCACAGTTAAAGTAGCCCAACCAAATTTTCACTCTAAATCTCTTTCCTCCTACTCTTCTTCATTTCTTCAAGCTCTGTTCTCTCGTACATCTACAACAATGGAGTAAGTTCTATCAAGTACTAAAAAATAATCCCATTCAATCATAATTTTATAAATCATTCTAAGTGTAGAGGAGCTTTATAGTGCAGAACCTGTGCGGTTGATTTATTATTATTATTATTTTTCCATTGCCCTATGGAATTGTGCCATAAGCATCGTGATTGAATCCGATCACTTCAATAACTTATAACATGATCATGAATGTGTGATGATTTTCATGTCATGATCAGGATCGTGATTGCTTGGTCATTATTGTGTCATTTCATTGGCATGTTGATAGCCCATTATTCATTCAATATAAAACATTTGCTGTAAAAGAAAGGCGTATTCAAATTAACTTTAAATATATAACCTGAACATAATTTCATTTAAAGTAGACTTTAGATTCAGAAGATTCATGTAACTATTCAAAAATTTCAATTTTCTTCTGGGTTGGATCATGAAATGATGTTGTGTGGACATAATGCATTTAAATTTGAAATTTAAAATTTGATGTAATAACTTAATCTATTACAAATATAGTGCATGTACCTTCTTCAAATTCTACTAATTCACCCGCCATTACTTCATCAAGACCATGAATACGAGCAATGCCATCACATCTTGATTTAGAAGAAAATATTAATTTGATGCCATGTTTATGTACAAGAAATTAGGAATGTGGAATCCAAAGAAAACTTCAAGAACTCTACAGCTGGATAATAGGTCAATCAAAAATCCTCATGGAGTGGTTGAAGATATACTCATCAGAGTTGGAGATTTCATCTTTCCAACTAATTTCATCATACCTGATATAGAAGAAGATTAATACATGTCAGTAATCTTAGGAAGACCATTCTTAACAACCAGACATGGACTAATGAATTTTGAAAAAGGTGAGATTATATTGAGGATGGAGGACAAACAATAAAGTTTTGCCATGAATAATCCACTCATGCGACATGCTTACCTTGAAGACGGCAAGAGAGTTGACCATGAAGAAAATAATGATTATGAAAGTCATTGCTACAAAAAAAGACAAAAAAAGAGTTGGTAGGTTAATTGAAACAATTAAGGACCATCATGAAAATTATAAAATTTGGAGGCCCAAAGGTAAATCAAGAAATCTCTGCTAGTATAGTCGTTGTAAGGCTAAAAACCCTCTTTTCAAACCACCATGAATAGTTAAAATAACAAGGGCTAATGACTAGAAACAGGCGTTTATTGGTAGGCAACGCTGTTTTCTTTCATCTTATTTATTATGCTTTCTTGTTAGTGGGATTAATAAAATTTTACTACTTTTAGTAGTTAGAAATATTTATTCCCATATTGCCCTAAAAGTAGTGAGATGTTTGAACTTATTATTAATTCTTTTATATTACTAATGATTGATTTCTCTTTATTTTGTATAAACATGACAATTAAAACACACAACCCAACACTGAACAAGGGAAAGGACATAGTAGTATGGATAATCTAGATCCAGCATTTTCATGACATTCAAGCTACTACCTTCATGCTAATATTAAGGGCTCATTTGTTCCATTCTTTGCCATTTTATAAGCTTGGTTATTGATATAATTTTAGACATTGAAACCAATGACTATTATAAGTTTTTGGTTGGAGAACATCAAGTATGTTATCTATTTTTACTATTTTGTGTTATTTTTCATGTGCAAAGAGCCAAAAAAGGGAAAAATAATTAGAAATATAAGTTAATTTCAACTTATTGTTTATCTTTTGTACTTGCGTGGGTTGGATAATCTTGTCAATTATGGTGCCTATACCAGAATCATGTGTTAGCTATAAATTTTGAAAAAGTTGCATGTTGGGTTGATTTATACATATTCATGTAAAATTTGACATTATTATGTGCACTGACTTATAACTTGCATCATGAAGGATTAATTTGATTTACATTGATGAATAGGTTGAAAATAGTAGAAATAAGATGTAAACCAGAGAAAATTCCTACAATTTATATTCTTAAATCAATTATAGGATAGTTTGGGAGTCATTGAACTTTTGTAAGAAGACATTGAGATAAATGTAGATTTCATAAATGTTAAATATTTGTGTCGATTGTTCGAGGCCTACAAGAATAGAAAAAAAAATACAAGGTGAAAATCTTAAGTTAGATGTCCGTTTTTGAGAATAGGTGTTTAATAAGGAATATTACATTAATCATTGTGGAAAAAGGAAAAAAGCTGACATGATTCATTAGCAAAGCAACCCCTAAAAGATCCCAATTGAGAACAAATATAAAATATCCCAAAAAGAAACTCAAAAAGGATAATGGTAGTACATGAAATAGAACACGCACCACATGCATTGATTAAGCTCAAAACATTTGTTTAAGAAAATTAGACATTTAACATGAATTAGCCTAGTTGATTCGTAGAGAGGTTGAAAAAATAAAAAATAAGAAGAATCATCATTTGTTAATATGTCTAATTACAATTAAAAAAATCCATCCAAACTAGAAGGTGATGATTAGTATATAATCTCAGCCTTTAGATCACACGTTGGAAACAAGGTAAAAGGAATAAGTTTGGGATATGTATCTTATGAGTGAAGAAAGGAAATATTTGATTATTGAAGGTTGGGACTTGAATTACTCTATGGCTTTATGATGTTTTAAATGAATTTTCACATACACGTCGATTATGCATTGGATAACTAAAAATTGATTTAGCAATGTGATTTTAAAGTTGTTCATAGTTTTGACATAGAAATTTCAACCCTAAGACCAACGACATGTTATTTAATTAAAGTTTGTTAAATATTTTATTTAAGTTAATTTATACTTTGATCAAGGATAAATAATTGTTCAAGCTTGGAGTGTTTGATAATTTATTTTATTTTATTTTCTAACACTTTTTGGATTGTTAATTAAAGTATTTGTTGTTCACTTTGGTGAATCATGGCTTTATTATGTATATATTTTGTTTGTTGGGTAAAAATCTATGGAAAATGATGAAATTGACAAAAGGAGAGAAAATGGGCTAAAATCGAAGAACTTTGAAATTCGTAGACTAAATTAGAGAGAAAATGGAAGAACTCTATAATTCGTAGACTAAATTATGAACCTTCAAAAGATTATCGGCCACATATCAATGATTGGAGAGTTTAGGAGTCAGTTGAATGCAAAAGAAAGGCAAAGGACTAGAAAGGAACAAAAAAGACCAAAATGCATATTATCGAAATTTTAGGGACCAGATTGCAAAATTAGCCCTAAACTACCCTACATTGTGCACGCAGGCGCAATCCACCCTTTCCCTAAACCTGAGGCCAAATGGGTCTAGGGATACATGTATGCCCAAGATGCCCATGTATGCTTGAGATTGAAATTTTACACTGAGAGACTGGTCTCCCTTTATGACTTAATCTCCTTTGGTGTGAAATTCTAGAACCTATTTCACCTAATTGAGGCTATCAAGGACAAGAGACACCACATTAGAGAGCAAGGAAGAGGTTTAGTACGAGATTACAAGGAAATAACATCAAGAATTGAAGATTTAAAGCTCGAGACCTAAGATCAAGACCAAGAAATTAATTCTTTATCAAGCTGCTTCTATCGTTCCATTTTATGGGTATTGTCTTTTCGATATTCTTTGTATAATTCATATCAAAATATGGTAGGCTAATTTCTCCCTCGTATTGGGTGAAGACGAATGATTTTTTTAAAATAATTTTTAATTAAAAAAGTAGCTTAGTAATTCATGTGTTTTTTGATTAATTTTGTGTTCTTCTTACCTTATTTAATTCCTTGGCCATTAATTAGGTAATTGGTTGCTTGTTGTAGTGTTTTTGGAGGCTCACAATAGTGCAGAAAGGTTAACACACGGGTAATAGATGTTAGGAATAAGATGTATGGCATATGTATTCTCTTCGATAATCATGTGTTTAATGCATGCTATTCATATGAATTCAGACTAGGAATTGGACCGGGTCATGTTTAGGATAGACGTAGTTTATATTGGAAAAGAAAGTTGACTATAATATGAACGCATGAATAGAATTTAATTACACAGTTGAGAATTGGAAATAAATAACAACAGTGGAAATTGTAAGTCCAGCAAACTCATTCCACATAAATAAAAATAAATGCTTTTACATAATTTGTATAATAACTTAAAGTAATTACAACAAAATCATCTCTATTGTGTTACAATAATTCAAATTTGATGAAAAAACTAGTACACTTAAGTTGGTATCTATTCCACTTGGGACAATCACTCAACTTATCACGTATTTCTTGTCAACAACTTCGTACACTTGTGGGTTTCAAAACAAACAAAAAGCAATACATGAAGAACTTTATTTTTCTAACGTTGTAACTTTCATGAACCACAATCCTTATAGCATAAAAGAGAAGTCATTTCAGACATGATTGATGAGGCACAAATGCAACCCAAACATTCCAGTCTACCCATGCCTATAAAGGACGTCTAGAGAGCCAACGATGAAGCATTGTTAGACATTCTTTAGGCTTATAACTTGATGCTGTATGTCCTGCCCCCTGTAAAATAAAAACACACCTTTTAGTTCTTGTATTTCTTCAAATCAGTGGAAGGAATGACACATTTAAACTTTTCTTGCCTTGACTGTTACAAATGTGAGATCGAAGTCATTTTTCTTGTACTTCTCTGTGTATCTACAAGGGGTAGAGTAGGTTACAATTTTGAGAACAATACCATGCAATATTTATATATTTATGTATATATAACAATCATTAAGAACAAGAAACAAACCCCGCGACTTGGCCATTAACAAGCCAAGGTCTCCAATCATCATCAATAGTCAGATTGAGAATGTGAATCCATTTTAAAGGACCCATGTATGGTGCAGCCATGTCATGATCACCACTAGAAAGAAAGGAAGCATAATTAGAAAACATTTACCAAATTAACATATTTGTGTAGTTATGTTTTCTGTTTAATTCTCTTCAATAATTTTAAACCAACATATATATATATCTAGTGGATCAATTAGATTAAACTTTGAATAAATTAAGTCAAGATTTCTATTTAATAAAGAAAACAATATAACTTACTTGAATACCAAAACATGGTATCCTTTCTTGATCAAAATTTTATGATATTCGAGAGCACTTTCTACATTCTGATTATATGATATCCTGTCGGAGCATGTTCTCCACCTTGTTATCATTCCCTGATGATCAAATTACGAGGTTATTGTAAACACTTTGATCGTATCTACTATTTTCCTTGATTACTAGCGCATCATACTAAATATTAAATCTTTCATCTTTTTCAATAAAACATACCTTTCTAATATAAAGAGCTTTTTGAACAATTTGATTATTTGCCCAAACATCAGATGCTGAATAATCTTGATTCTGTATAAAGAAATCCGTTAATGAGAAATTGAGCATGCACGGTTAAGCTTAAAAAAAAAGTTACTTTAAGCTTCTTCTCTACCAAAAATAGTTTATAAATTTCTTTCTTCAATGACAAAGTAAATTTTAACTTATTTTGTAGAAAAACCAATTTGTCTAGAAATATATACATAGAGGATTAATTAAGTTACATGACACTCTTGATCCGCAGTTGGAAGGACGAGGTGGTCAATTGAATTGTCATTCGAAAATGTTAGATCCCATCCAAAATCATATGGTTTTGGAGCTCTGTTTCCACATTTTGGATCCAAAATCTGAACTTGGTTTATATGACTTAAACACTGCAATATTTAATGTTTACAACCATAATAAATATTAAAAAGAAATAAAAAATAAAATAAAATAAAATAAGATGCAAAATGTTACCTTTTGGATCCGTTGAAGGGCATATGTACATTGTAGATTATTTGGATCACGATTGTAATATTTTCCATCACAATTAATTTTTGCCGACTGAAATTGTGTCAAGTAATTACAAGAGAATAAGATGCAATATGCAACATTTTGTCATCAAAATAATTGAATAAGAAAGATTACCTCAAAATATTCATCGGATATAAGTGCCATGCGATGAACATATGGAATTCGTGCATTAAAATCAATGTTTGAATCTGTTAGTCCATTGCCAATAATGTATCCCTATTTCAATTATAAAGTCCTCGAAAATTAACACAAAATATATATTTTATATTATTGGCAAATAATAAGAAGAAATTCGTATATTTGTGTCAACTAATCATTACTTGGAAGGACATTTGTGGCTGAAGTCCTGTTTCATTTCCTGCATTACAATCAAGATTAACAATTAATCAAGCTTGATTGGTGGATAATAAGACGTGGAGCTAGAATCTTGTAAGTTTCTCTTTTCATTTTTCATATATATTACCTTGTAATATTTCCATGGCAACCATAGGAACAAGTTTGCCTCCATAGGATTCACCCGCAACATATAGACGATTTTTGATAAACACAGGATGATTCAATAACCACTGCATTGCATTATTCTTAATATATTGTTAGCGCTAACCTAAAATAGTGGGGGAGTGCATATAGGTGTGAATGTGTAAGACTACTAGTAAGTTCCACATAAAACATCATTTCTATTGCCTTAATTTCCACCTAGGAATGAAATATCTATGATAAATAATGCCGACTTACCTTCCTAAGAAATGTGAAAATATCCTTTGCCGATTTAATGTCTGAGGAAGAGTAACCTTGTGAAGTGTTTGCATATGAAAATCCAGTTCCAACAGGTGCATCTATGAATATAATATTGGCAACCTAAAATTTAAGAATCATATTATAAAGGTAGAAAGCCATGGACGACATGCATACATATATGACTTGAAAAATCCAGGAAGAAGAAGATTTTTCTACCTTGGTCCATGAATATGGATTTAGGATAATAGATGGTAAGCTTCCATCAAAATTTTCGACATCAAAAGTACATGGACCTACACACAAGCTCACCAATTGGTGTGAGAATAATAGATGTTCTATTTATAAAGTACCATTTGAGGTATGAAAAGAAAATATTATTTAGTTTTAAAGGGCTATAAATGTAAAAAATAAATAACAAAAAAAAAATACATAGTTTAAATATACTTTTTACAGTAAATTAAAGACAATTAAACAAGTGGTAAAAGTGAGTGGAATTATAGAAATTTTTCTCTTAGCCTAAGCCTAGATCCAAAATCTATATGCAAAAGTTCTATTAATTTCCACTTCCTATCATAGATAAACAAGGGAAATTGCATCCATCGAAGTGAGCCATGGATTCGCACTTCTGTTGTTGAATCCAATCAATGTAGTAAAAAATTTAAACGAAAAATTACTTATAACCAAAAAAAAAGAGAGAAAGAAATAATAATAAAACAATCACTTATAAGTAATGTTTTAAAAATCAACCTGGACATTGACCCATAAAAGGAAAAGGTCAACAGTCAAATGATTGAACCGGGGTTGACCCGGGGTCGAACCGTATATCAAAATTAAATAAATAAATACTCCAACAAACTATAAAATATTATAACAACAACAACAATTTTTTAAATTTTAGTATTACTAATTCAAAATAAATATAAATAAATATTTACCAATTAGAATGCATGTTTCAACAGTGTTTTGACATCATTTCAACCACACATTTTTCAATAAAATAATATTACATGCAAATCCAAAACTTTTTCTTATTTTTAACCACACATTTTCCATCAATACACTATTCAAAAAATCACTCTTCACCAAAAATTGGGCTCAAACAAGGGCTAAATATATAAAATTGCAAAATGTTACACAACTTATCCCACATTGGAAGTTGAGGAAAACTTTATATGACTCCTCTCTTTTAAAAGCAACACTTGAATTGGAAGGAAGACAAATTGGTCTTGCCAATACTTGAGCCAATTTATCAAGTTGATTTTTCTTTTTTTTACTTTTTTCTTTTTTTCGGAAAAAAAAACCTTATTAATGGGTAAAAATTGGGACCAATTTTTCAGTTTTTGGTGAAAATGGTCGGTTTAACGAGTTATTTATCAATTTTTTTCATTCCTGATTAATATATTATGACCGGACCAAATTTGAGATTGGTTCCCAATTTTTCCGATTAAATCGGCTAATCTGGTCCGATTTTCAAAAAATTGCTTATAATTAAATTTAATTGTAAGTCACAAATACTTCTAAGTAAAAAATTATTTATATGTAAATTTATGTATAGTTAAGAAAGGTTTTTAAATATATTTTTTTATTTTTAAAAATACTTGTACGTTTTTCTAATACAGTGAAACACCAAGCCCTGTATTTAAACAATGATTGTGCTACATGCATATCGGAACTTAGAAATTTGCTTACCATCCTAGAATATGACTAGATATAATTGGGTCAAAATCTTATCAACCAAATTAAAAATTAAAAAAAACTCCCATAATAGCTTTTTGATACCATATTCATTTGTAAAAGATTATATAAATGGTGACATATAACATGTATTTTCTCTAGAACAATACATCATAATTCACGTAATACCCTATATAGTGTACCAAATGTGCTCCACTAGGCATTATTTTTTTTTTTTTTGAATTTATGTTAAAGATATCAAGTAAATACATATAAACTAATAATATAAACTAATAAACCATCAAATCACGGAACGCAAACACTAGGCTCCGACATTTTTCTCACTAACTCGTATGCTTCGTGGCCAAACATCAGAACAAACGCACATATTCATATATATGTTAGTGTTGTATCTCGATAAATATTAGAAAGGATTCCAGAAAAGATGCCATTTCATTTATGGTTTTGTCCATTTTTAAGATTTTTTGTTATCTTCATTTTTTGGGTTTTTGGTTCCAGTTCTTGGATTCACGCTTCAACA